TGCCGCAAGGCAAGCAGCTGGCTCTCTCTGCGGTTCCGTGCAACGCGGTACACCGGGAATTTGTATATAGCGTCCTTCGCACGGGGAATCGCAGGATGCACTGAAAGAGGAGGCTCATAAACAACAAGGCACGGCACCGTGTGTGCCCACATCGGGGGTGTGTCTTTTTCTTAGCTTTAGGTAGGGCATTTTCACTCCTTGGCTTAGGGCATTGATTTTCAGGATAAGGCCTGAGCTGTCTATATTTAGCAGGAATTCATGCATCCAAAAGCCAAAACAAGTTACAAAGAAAGTGAGGGTAGTGATTTTGGATGTAGCTGGGAGGTGCAAGGCACGCTAACAGTGGGTAACCCCAGCGCGATGAGAAGTGTTTTGGGACACAACAGGTGGAGAGGGGCTATCGGGGAGAGAGGAGAGAGGGCAGGGGACAAAGGCGCTGCCACCGGCAGTGCGTGCAGGTGGTCACAGAGACTTCTGGCTGGTAACAGCACCTCTAAGAAGCACATTTTACCCATGGAAGAGGTGAATTAGGCAGCAGTGTATGGGCCTCGGCCTTCTTCACACAATATCACAAAGATGAACAAAGATCAAGCAAAAATATTTGTGTGTCTAGCATTCCAAAACTATTTTTAGACAGAGATGGGACAACACATACTTGCAGAGTAAGAACAATGCTTTTCTACTCAACTGTTAGCAGGCCTTGTTTTAAAATGCAGATCTAAATATGGCCTACTATAGTTTGTTGTCCAATTATTGTAACAATTTAAATATCTCATTAAATTATCTTTTCAGAGAGAGTGGTATCCTGTACTTGGAAATTTATGGTGCATTCAGTTTTCTGATAATATATTCGAAGGTGATATATGAACTGTAAGATATTTTTGCTGTTGGTGGCATAAGGTACTGTAAAGGTGACATTACTAGTTTTAATGTACAATGAAGTATCAAGAAAGTTGCTTGAATATATTTAAATTTTAAAAAAATCATCAAAAAGTCAATCCTACTTGCAAGACTGATGTCAATTTTGAGTTGCCTTTAACAAAATCTGATCAAATAAACCTATTTTTTCATCCCCAAATCTTTTAAAAGGAGCTTGCATTCTATGAATAATTTCCTTCAAAATAAGTATGAGAATTTATGTTTACAGACACACCTTTGATAGATTTTGCAGGCTTTATTTTAATCTGCATTCCATGTATTATTCTACAGGCAGAGAGGAAAAAAGCCCTTACAATCAAAATCGAAGAAATTGCCGATTCCTGTAGTTGATCTCTATCACTTCTTAAATGCAGCTCAGCTGGGTTTTTGAAGGGATTCTGGAATCTGATCTTGAAGACCTGTGTCTATATCCGTATCTATATGTATAGATACATACATATAATTTGTAGTCAATGGAATACTGCTGTCAGTAGACATATGCATATGCCCACAATCCAAACATATCTGCACATGCTTATTTATATGCATTAAGTAGTTCCACAGAAATAACCCCAGTCATAAAATTAAGCAAATACCTAAAGACTGGACCTCAGTGTTCTGACTGGGAGGAGATAAAAGAGAATGAGAGTGAATTTATTGATGACAGATGCTAGTTTCACTGCTTAATGCCCTATTGGGATGCACTTAGTGTCTACTGTCATCAATGCAGTGTAAGAACTTAAATAGAAGGGAAAAGAATATGAGGGCAGAAGTCATTAGGCAGTCTAGAAATCACACCTATGGTTTCTGTTTTAAAACATTACTGCCTGTTGCCTGAAGCTAACAGGAAGTGTTCTAATTTGTGTGCACTTTTTCTTTCCTAATATCAAAAGCTAATAATTTGTACTGAAACAATCCCCTGCAACTCATTTGTTGTAGCAATTTGGCAGAGTATGGCAGCCAGTGACTAGTAACAATGAGGAAACCGATCTATTTTCATTGTCTTAGGTGAAGACAATGGCATAAATACAATAGAGGAAACAGGGAGGAAATTGGGGACAAATACTCCCAATTTCAGTAATCAAAGCTGCCATTACTAAATAAATGTTTTAAGTAAATGGGAACAATGAGACTTGATGACAACAGGTAGATGGTTAGATGGTACTTTTTAGTGGGATATTGCCACATTTAAAATGGAAGGCAGAGAGGATCTCTTTTATTGGTTTAAGCCCAATATTTACATTCAGACTAGTATATGCCACTGTATAGTAAATGACAGAACACCTCCAATGACATTAAAGATTACAATGTTGTAGCTACATACTTGAATTCTATCTACATCCAGGCTTCTTCTGCACTTCATTCATAAAACTTTTACTAGTCGACTCATTCCATCAGCTATTTTTTACTCTAATGGTGATACACGGACTTTTCAGAACTGGAATGACTGTGTACCTTTTAAAATAAATGTATGCTCACAGGTATACAATTAATATTTACTATAATAAACATACTATATGAAACAAGGTGAACTGTATGTTGAGCTACAGTACGGACATAATAATCATACTTACCAAGTGAATTTTATCAAATTTGGTTTTAAATATGTCTTCCACAATATCTGTAAATGTCTCTGAGTGACCTCTGACATGACCTTATTTGTCATTGGCTTTTTCTGTATCTATCTTTGGTCTGGTATTTCTATTCTTAACAGTCATGGGTTGCCATCACTGGGAATAGTAATCTGTTATCTCCTATGACTTATTTATATAAAGAACTTTACTGTTGAGATTATTTCTGAAGTACCAATGCAAGGCAGAATTTTGTCTTATTTTGTTCTAAGGAAACAAGCAGTAGTCCCTCTGACCTTCAATTTTTTAATTGTTCCATTTTAAATCTCCTTCATTCATATTATCCCTACCAGGCAGCCCATTTCTGAATACATATTGGAGAAGTTATTTATGATACAGTTTTTATCTCTTGCAGCTTTATAAACTCCTGAAGTGAGAGAGGAAGGAACCCTGGTCACGTTACTAGCTATAATACTTGGAACAGACAGCCATAATTGGTTGTCCCAGGGACTGACTCTGCTTTCTGCCATGCTCTTCAGCAAATGGTAGAAGCCCATTTGTGCCAATGATGTCTCATGCACTCAGGTAAAGGTTACCAAAACTAGGTGCATAAGCAGATACTGAACTCACAAAGACTGATTTGGAAACAGAAACGAGGGGACTGAGAGGAGGATTCACAGGCACAATGTCAGAGCCTCCCCAAGAGGGATGGTGACAGAGGGTAAGCTTCAGTCAAATGAAAGCAAGAATAAAATCTATACAGGCACCTGCCATATACTTTAAAGAAGAGTCCTCTGGCTAGCTTTAAAATTTCTTTGGGAATTTTGGTTGAAGTGGGAGAAAAGAGTAACTCTGTTAAAGCCCAGGATATAGATATTCTCCCATTCTTACAAGCATGATATAGAATAACACTAATAAACCAGCCATTCCTCAGTGCTGTCAGAGCAGTTTCAGAAAGAGCCCTTGGGGACTGGGTATGGAAACAGTTTGTAAAGGGAACAAATGCCCCACAGAGGTTTAGGAATCCCCTTTCCTAGAAATAGGTGATAGATCAGCTCCCTCCAGGGGGCTCAGTGCCTTCTCTTTCCATTAAAAACATCAGACCTGTGTTGCTTGCTTCAATGGGAGCAAGTCTGGGCCTAGTGGGAAGGGAAGTCACACACCCTGTTCTAGGATTGGGGTGAAATCCCTGTTCTGGGATTTCATTGCTAATCTGATAGGCAGCTTCCTATAATCTACAGACTGCATTCTATAGTCAGCTTTGCTGCTTACAGTGAATTTGAATCAAACTTACCCCACTTTGCACTGGGATAGGAATAGGATATTTAAATATCAATGCAAACCTCTTCTTCCCCAGCCCCCTCTTACATCATGCCTGTAGGAAGTCTACTGTGTTATTCAGTAGTGCAGGTGGAAACCAATATGGATCTATTTGTACCAGGTGTTAGGTGACTAAAAAGGAATGCTACATTCTTGTTTGTTTCATACAAGGTAAAGCAGGGAGTCCTGGAACTCTTGATTACGTGCCTGAAATGTTACATTGCAGTCTCTTGTTAGAAACATTTAAGTGTTGTTGACACCTTGGTTACCCAGTATCATATTCTAACTTCTAGTACAGGAAAAAATAATTAAAGGCCCCTTCATTAACTAAATTGCAGGAATAAGAACAGTTTGTTCCGTTCAACAGCTTGGACAAGTGCTGAATCACAACAGCAGTACGCTGTTCTGCTGGTTAAAACTGTCTGATGACTGAAACTCACACTCTTTGATTATTAGCTTTGAAGAGAGAGATAAGGACTGAGAATCTAAACATTTTCACTATGGAATTACAGATTGGCACAAATGAAAATAAAATCAGACTGCAGGATATGGGCAGAAACATTTACAAATATGTGACAGGTACTAGATCTTAGCAAAGAACCAAGAGAATGCAGAGTTACTTGCAAGTGGGATGTTGATGGCCAGCGTCATTTGAGTTTTTACTATTCTGATATGTCATTGCTCCGGAATTTTCTTTAACCTGAAGTTGAAGTTAGTATTTTAGCAGTTCAAATTGCTGTCCACATAGTTTTAGTCAGTGTATATGACACGTATATGACACTATAATCACCTCCAATTCATTTTACATTTCTCAAAATCCTGTGCTAAACCTCCCAGATTTTCTAGATTTCTGTATTTTGGAACTCAGCAAAAGAGCTGGGATTAGAATTCAGTTCTCTCATTGCACCTCATCCTTTCTCAGACACGTTTAGTCTCACCCTTGTCTGTTACTGCTACTACCTTCTTCCGTCTATTCACATATAAAGTGACATCTCGCAAAAATATGTTGCAGTGACTTACTGTTTTCTCTCTATATTTTTAATTATCACTGGGGTCCAGGAATAAGACTTTGCAGATGGAAAAAATAAAGGCACGACTGAAAGCAGAATTTGAAGCCCTGGAGTCTGAGGAGAGGCACCTGAAAGAGTACAAACAGGAAATGGACCTGCTGCTGCAAGAGAAAATGGCCCATGTGGAGGAGCTGCGACTGATCCATGCTGATATTAATGTGGTATGCAACAGTCCAGCTGAAGACAGCCTAAGACACAGTTGTATATGAATCATTACACAGGTTGTGGAATTGTGCACATCGGTGAACTATCACTGGTTCAATAATCTGGGCTTTACACCACCCCCCCAGGATCCTTAAAGAGTGCAAAGTAAATTTACTTCAGGATAATTGTTTTTTCCTGTCTGTGTTGGGCAGGATATTTTGTAATGTTGGCATAGTAAGCATTTGCACCAAGAGGATAGATAACCAAGCCCGCTGTGGCTATGACTTTACCAGTAGCCACAGTAACATCACTCTGGTAGTCCCATAGAAAACTGTTCTTCCTGTCAGTCTTTTCTCATTTAGCACCTGGAAACAGAGAAACTTTGGCAGCTAGGTGGGACGTTTGATTGGAGGTTTTTGGAAGAAAAGAGATTTTGGGAAATCTATGGTATTTGTTAAGTTCTTAGTAAAAGCTGACCTTCATCACTAGGTGGAACCACCAAACATTAAGAAGCACCAGCCTGAAGGGAATTAATACAAGTATGAGAAAAACAGTTTATAAACAAGGAAGATTAGCCAATTAGAGGGGCTAAATGGGGAATATATTTTTAAACCTGCAGTTTTTACGTCATATTAGGGCCCTTACATGACCGTACAGTGGTTTCTAGCTCTGAAGGTATCTGTGCTTTGCACCGTAAGAAAAAAGCTCCCACACTGTAAGCAAGTACAGGCTACCTACTAGATGTGCAGAGTGCATTTATTTATCACCTGAAATGTCTGTTCCCCTACCCAGCTGCATAACCTCAGTCTCTGTTTCATCCTCCCCTCTTTTTCCTGTCAGATTGTCTTTCTCTCTGCTGCTTTTCCCATTTACTGCAGTAAGAGAAGCAGGAACCTTTCTTTAGCTTGTTTGTTAACTTCTAACCGTTGGTGTTCAGGTATCTTAGAAACAGAAAATTAGTTTATTCTACTTTAATTTCCTTTTTAATGTCCCTTGAGAGTTTTCCATAGCTCCTCACTTGCTGACTTATCTGCAGCCCGTCTACCTGCTTTTTCTCTTGTTCAGAAAATCATATAGGTTGAGGGCACCTTTTTTAATGAAAATGCACCTTGTATGTCACTTTCAGTTGCTTCTTCCTTGCCCGGTTTTCATCCTCCCAGTATCTTAACTCTGTTTTACTATTGCATTGTCTCCCATCTCACTCCCAGCTTGAGTGAGAAAAATCTCTTCTTTCTGATACAGTCTCTTGCTCAATCAGGGAGCTATTAAAGGACCAGTTCTTTACAATCATGCCCATTCTCCTCTTTCAGATGGAGAATACTATCAAGCAGTCTGAGAATGATCTCAACAAGCTCTTGGAATCTACTCGTCGCCTGCATGAGGAGTACAAACCCCTGAAGGAGCATGTAGATGCTTTGCGGATGACTCTGGGATTGCAGAGGCTGCCAGACCTATGTGAGGAGGAAGAGAAACTGTCCCTTGAGTAAGTCTCCAAAGCAAACATTATCTGGCTTTACACTTTCTCTCGATTCTACTGGTTATTTTGTCATTTTACTTTTATTGGTAGGTGGAAAAAAGAACCTAAGAGGTAAGCATGGAAAACAAAAGTTAACAAAAAAGGGATGTGGGAGCACATGTATTTTATAACATTTAGTCTGAATTTGTTGGAAGTTAAATTTAGATTATTCCAAGCTGCAAACTCTACATATGACATGCAAAAATTCAAGGGTTGTTGGTTCTCCAGGTTTTTATACCGTATGCTGCTTTTTCTAGCAAGACGGTTTTTTTCCTGCAAATAATTTTTTTGCTTGTTTAGCAAGCAGAGGTAGGAGGCAATACAAGAAAGGGATGCAAACCAGGTATTCTTCAGTTGGTTTGTGCTACTTCTAGTCAGAATTTTACTTTTTGCTGCATGCATGTGGCAGTAACTTTTAGCCACCTATGACTGTCAACAAGTAAGTTTACCCTAGATGTGGAACAGATTTGGATAATAAATTACAGTTTCATTTTTAGGTATAACCTAGGTGGGGAGGGTGACAGAATTAGCTACTATTCAAAGAACAGTGTCCTTTGTTTAACAGATCAGTTTTAAATGCAAGTGATGTTTTAAGAAACTTACATTTCTCTTAATGCCCAGAATATTTGGCATCACTGACACACAGTTTTCAAGATTTCTTTTGCACTTCTTCAGAAATGCTGTTTTCCATTCCAAGCACCTTGACATTACAAAGAATGTATTAATCTATTGCATACAAGAGTTATTCATTTTAACAGAATAAAATATAAAAACCAAGTTTGACAGAGGTGCCTCTAAAGCTGTTGAAGATTAAATATATACGTTTTCTATTTTCCATCCTATTAGATTTATATCCAGTTGTACATCCAGATACCTTAGAAGATGACAGTCTGGAACCTGGCTGAAGTGTACAAATGTAGAGGAAAATACCACCAATTCTATTTGTGAACTAGTCCAAGTGGTGTCTAAGTGTAGGCAATTTGACTCTAGTGGAGCAACATGATAGGGAAATGTGACCCATTATATTTTAACACAAAATATCGTTTACAAACTAATGGAATATTCCAGAAGGTGGTTATATTTTTTATTTGTTTTTCTTTTGTCTAGCTACTTTGAAAAGCAGAAGGCGGAATGGCAGACAGAACCACAGGAGCCTCCCATCCCAGAGTCTCTGGCTGCAGCTGCAGCGGCTGCCCAACAGCTGCAAGTGGCTAGGAAACAAGATACCAGACAGACAGCAACTTTCAGACAACAGCCACCTCCAATGAAGGTCAGGAGATGGAATGCACTGGGTTTTCTCTTTTGTCATTGGAATGTATTATGTTTATAAAGTTGATCAGTATTTACAAAAAGGAAAAATGACGTGTCCTGATTCTGGTATTTCCTGCAGTGGTTCAAATCAAGAGCAACCCCAGTAGACTTAAAGTAATAGCACCAGTCATCAAGGGTTAAGGACAAGGCTCTGTATTATTTGACTCCTTTATGACTTAAGAGTCTCCATCAGCAGACATGTAGGCAATTCCCACTCATCTTGTGTTTCATGTGTGAGAAAGGCATGTAAGAAAAAAAAATGCTGGGCAAAAGAAAAACTAAGAGCTGGGAGTTAATCTCAAATGGATTCATATTAGAAGCAATGCACATATTTTATGAGGGTGAGTAATTACTGATGGTACAAATCACCAGGAAAGGTGATTGTTTCTGCATTTCTTGGGGTCTTCAAGTTAAGACTAACGTATGGATTAATTTAACCTAACCACAGGCACTTAAGTGACAGTTTTACTCAGCTCCTTCTGTAGTCAGTAAAAAGAACTAAGTAATTCCATAGGGGTATTCATCCCACCCAAGTTCCAAAAATTCACTGACTAATGAGGCAAACTGACGGAGGTACAATCCATAGTTATGTACTTACTATCTGGAGTTAGGCCATCAAAAAGCCTTTCTGAAAGTAATATGCTTCAGTCAAATGGAAATTAAAGGGCTTAGTATAGAGCAAAAGGGCCGAGTTCTGTATCTTGTGTTAAACATGTGGAATTCATCTAATCACCAGCTCCTGCCTTGAAAACTGTGACATCACAGTTGGCCTTCACTGTAACTTCTCTGACTCAGTGAGCTATTACGCATGTAAATGTCTTTAAAACATGTGGAACGTTTAACACAAAATAGAATTTAAAGTTATTGATACATGCCTGAACCATGTGTCCACTGAACTGTAGTTTCAATTCAATGCGATACCAGTTTTTCAGTTGACCTGAAGTTAGTGTACAATCCAGAGACCTGGATTGTATAGAACGTAGCATTGGTTTGCCTTTGAAGGCAAGAAGCCTTAGTTATTTTTTTTCTGTACTGTAACTTAGAATATGATACTCAATAACCCGTATAACAATGCCACTTAAACGTTTGTAACAAGAGGCTGCAATGTCGCATTTCAGGCATGTTTATCATGTCACCAACAAATTCATCGGAATGCACCCATATGTCCACTCTGCAAAGCAAAGAGCCGATCTCGGAATCCCAAAAAGCCCAAGAGGAAACAGGACGAATGAAACCCAGAAGATTCACAAGCAGACATGTGACCTGTTCCAGTACTCTTCCAGTAGAACTGCAAATGTGGCCAGACTTTACTGAAGTGCAGACTCAAGTATGACCGACCCCTTGTTTTCTACTTAATGCAATGTAAGCACAATGTTCCTGTTCTGTCTTAATTTCCTTCCATCCAGCTCAACCAGGATCTGGTTTTAGGAAAGTAAGTATTACTGGTGCTACAGTTTAACATTTCAATCATTCCGTATTTTGGACTCCTAAACAAAGTGAAATTATTATGCAAGTATCCTAAATGCCAGACTATTCCTATTGGCCAAATGTGATTACCACAAATGCTTTTATGTTCTCTTTTTAAAAACAAATGTTACTAAAAGATTGTTCTGTTTTCTCCTGATAACAGGAGACTATTTGAAGTGCTGAAATAGCAGACTGTCTGTTTGTTTCACTAAAGAACAATTTGTTTTCCAAGCTAGTAAGACTGCATAGGTTTGGGTATCCAGTAGAGCTCTTTTTATACAGGAAATATTCAGGGAAAAAAAAGAAATTGGTTATGCAGGAAATCAGTGCATTAAGGACACACATGAGTTTTGATTTACTGGGGTTTGATTGTACCATGCCCTCAAACTTGGTTTAAAACTTGGAAGGGGGATCAGTTGCTGGCCGTGTATGGATTTCTAAAAATGATGTAATTTGTGATGCTTTAACATCTTAATATGGTATTATTTTCAGCAGTCAGAAGACTGATTGACTTAAGTACAAGGCTCAAATGAACTGTATTAGTGGTCCTCCTAGGCTTTATGGCCAACCAGCTCACTGTGGTTCTCTTTGAAACATGCATGAAATATCGCAAATCTCTATGCGCACAGACTGCAACATCAGCCGTTCTACATGTCTTCTATTCCTGGTTTCTACAGCCAAAATCTCCCTTGGCAGACATATCCTCCACTGGAGCACAGGGAAGTTCAGTAACATGCACCAGGAACAGTGTCAACTAAAAATTATGTATTTCACCAGAACTGCCTGGCTTTGGTATCATCGTCCTCCCTCAACCAAAACTTCCTATTTTGTATCTTTTTATAGGTCATTTTCAAGTAAGCTTTATTTCAGCCCGGATTTTTTTCTTGCTCTGTGTGTGTGCCAAAAGAACACTGACTAAAGGATCCTTTAGACCACTCCCTGTATCCGTGTCTTCCCTTTGTTTCACCTCATGTAACAACAGTTCCTCCAACAGGGAGGATGGCAGTCACCCAACTACAGAACCAGGGCTTAAAACTTACTAATTTCTAATCCCAGTAATGTCACCGCCTTTGTTGCCTAAACTGATCTCAAGTGTTAAATATCCTTTTCGCTAACTTCAAGAGGCAGGGACTGCCTGTTTACATTCTTCTCTCTTTAGCCCAGGTTTTCCTCTACTGTTATGCTGGAGTGGTTATATTGAGAACTTTGCTTGTTAAATAGGAAGAACAGGGAAGCCCCAAGTCTCTGGTCAGAACTTTGCCAAGTGCTGGAGACTGTACGAATCCACATAAACCAGTTTTGTTGGACAAATCACATACGTTGCCATTAACTTCCCAACTCCGCCATAAAGTACATGAGTATTTTACGTAATATAGTGGTATAATTTATGCCAAGTTCAGCTGGTATTCTCCCATTTTAATGTTTCATAGTCAAATAAACATCTGTCAACATCAGCAACAGAATGTGGACCATGTGCCCCTGAAAAGATGTGAAAAGCAGATTCTGCTAGCTGAATTACTGGGATTCAGTCTCTGTGAGATAGCAATAATGGAGGACAGTCTGACCCCATGCTCCAAACGCCAGTAGTGCGCTCACTCTATCGTTATGCATGTTTCCTAACACAAATACTGGATTCTACTTTCAAATGTCAGAGCAGCCACATGCTGTGTGCCCAGTTCAGAGCAATTCCTATTGACTTTAAGGGAAAATGCACAGAGTTAAAGGACAGTATATGGACTCCCCCAAAGTGCATGCATGAGAGCAGCATACTTTGATGACAGTTGTATATAAATTAAGAAGTAGTGACAATGGAGAATGGGTGAAAGTTCTGCAATGAAGTAGTGCGAATAGAAGGATAGATCTGTAGAAACTTCAACTTACAGCTCTGAAACAGATAGGGTAAGTCATAGCTGCCCTCACTTCACTGTTACTTTGCCAGGTTCTTTCTTTCTTGGGAGATCTCTAGAGCTCTAAACTGAAGTATACTTAAGGATGCACTGTTTACTAATTTAGTATGGCAGTTTTGTATTTTTACTTTTTCAAAATAGTCTTTTGTGCCCTTGTGTTTAACAAGGTTTGTTTCTTTAAAAAAAGAAAAAATGTGAATATGATATACTGTGTTTGTATCAATCATGTACTAGTGTTTACAAATCTGTTTTCACATCCTTTATGAAGTTCTGCCATATGAATAGCGTGCGTTGCTGAGAATGGGTCAAACTGAGTATGAGTCAACAGTGTTCCCTGGCAGCCAAAAGGGCCAGCTGTGTCCTGGGGTGTATCAAGCACAGCACTGCTAGCCGGTTGAGGGAGGTGATTGTCCCACTCTACACTGCACTGGTGTGGCCTCGGGTACTGTGTGCAGTTTTGGACACCTCAGTGTAAGAAGGACATCAAACTATTAGAGTGTGTCCAGAGGAGGGCAACCAAGATGGTGAAGGGTCTCGAGGCAAGACCTACGAGGAGCAGCTGAGGTCACTTGGTTTGTTTAGCTTGGAGAAGAGAAGGCTGAGGGGTGTCCTCATCACAGTCTACACCTTCCTCAAGGGGGGCAGTGGAGGGGGAGATGCTGATCTCCTCTCTCTGGTGACAAGTGACAGGACACAAGGAAACGGAATGAAGCTGCGTCAGGGGAAGTTCAGATTGGACATTAGGAAAATGTTCTTCACTGAGAAGGTGGTTGGTCACTGTAACGGGCTCCCCAGGGAAGCGGTCATGGCACCAAGCCTGTCAGAGTTCAAGGGGCATCTGAACGATGCTCTTAGTCATATGGTTTAATGTTAGGTAGTTGGACTTGATGATCCTTATCGATCCCTTCCAACTCGAGATATTCTACAGTTCCAACTATTTCAAGGAGACAAAATCTGTATTATGTATTAAGGGATCCTGGGGGTGGGGGGAGGGAGGGAAGCCATATCTTTCATAGAGAACCAGTATTCTCCTTTTCTCTCACAGATTAATTAAGGAAGCTTAACTGAAGAGCTCTTCTCCTGACAGCCCCAGGCCCTTTTCTCCCAGGCACTTTTCTCAAGAGACTAGAGGGATAATTATGAAATATTGATTTCTTGTTTTTTAGTCAGAGGAGGAAGCTGTCTGAAGTATGGTTCTTACAAGTCTACTGCATTTTTGCTTCGTGGAAGAACAATGGCCTCTTCCTTTGTACCTAAGGTTCTCTGAGGATACTTCTTCACTTGGCTTAAATTCATTCTTATTTGGGTTAAATTCTCTTAATAGCCACAAAGAGACCCTTCTCAAAGATTACAAGGCTTTTATATTACTAAAGTCTGGATTAACTCTGGCTTTGTCATTCCCTTTTCAACGGGTATTCAGGTGACAACAAAATCACTGGATTCTTTTGTTATAGATGGTTTCTTGGGTGTTTTCCTGGTTCCTCACTTGCCTCAAAGGATAGCCCTGTTGTTCTGCAACCAAACAGCAAAAAAATCACAAGCCTCTCCCCCTGCCCTCCACCTTAAGCTTATGCTAAAAGGATGCAAACACTCTACCATGTCTAAAGGCTTTGCTATAGAAATTTTCATACCCAAGCTGGGCTAGATCAGTTGTTCTAACTTTAGTGCCAAGGACCCCATTAACTATAGAGAAAATGTAAGCCAAATTTTAATACTTGCACTTCCTGAATTCAGCTTCAGCTTTCTAAACAGGACACTGACTAACAACCTGCCAGTGGCTTCAAGTTACAGAATCTAATTTTGAAAGAATAGCCATTGATGTGTTACTCTAAATAGCAGAACTATTAAAAAAATTAAGATTTTACTAGCACTTTAAATAAATAAAAGTGCTTTCCTTTATTTTACAGTTTTCTAATTCTTCCGACATAGGTTTTCATTTTGGCATTTAGGTATTTTAGCAGTATCTGGCATTTTGACTGGCTTCTGTGTTTTAAATATTTTACTCCTGTGCCCAGTAGGAGTAACAGTGTGCTACCTGTTTAATTTGTCTGTACAGTCCTTTTTAATAAATGTTTGTTTCATGTCATGCTTTCTTCCTGCAGAGTATTTTCACATCTGTTATTTGCTTATGCTACTGAGAAGCAGCCATATCCCGAAAGGTAAAACCCAGCTCTCTAATTTTACAGGATGCAATTAGCCACAATTCTGTGGCTAATTACAGAAACTTCATGGAGATAAATACGGGGAAAGAAATATCCGTTCTCATGAGCTTTAGAAAATAGAAAGGAAAAGGAGACAGCAAGACAGGTTTTAACCCAGCCAAACTTCTCAGTCACATTTCTGGAACACAAACCACTGTGTGTTTAAGCTCCAAGATTTCTGCATCTGCGTAAGAGTCATAGAAACAGTGTCTAATTCCCCAAACCAGGTACTTCTGAAACAAACCTATCCTCTGCTGCCACTTGCACCGGATAGTTTTTGCATGCATAAAAATGCCTAATTTGCACTTGCAGGTGTCCAGTTATGAAACTCAAACAGATGCAGAAAAATAACAAGGAAACCACGTCCCTGTGCTGCAGTTCTACCACTGAAAGCTCTGACTGGGGCGTTTATTTCAGTTTGTGACCGATTCACAGGGTTTCAGCTTGAACTAGTTCCCAGTCAATTTAAACTAAATCAAAAGAAACCACTTTCAGGTGGGAACAAGTCTTGCTCAGACAGGTTTCAGTTTAAAGAAGAGTCATATCCAACACCTTCTGTCAGGTGCTAGACTGCCAAGAGGCCAGATGTATTCTTCACAGTTCTTTACTACTGAGGAACCTCCTGTTTTGTTTTGCTTTCTAAAGTTAAACTGAAAGCAGCAAGTGACATGATTCCCTCTCTGATTTAAGGTAGGGCATAGCTGTCTTCCAAGGAGTCCTGCTTTGCCATTATGAGATTATATCTTCTGCTAGTGCTTGCTGGAAGTTACTTCTCTCAACAAACCGGTGACTGAGGAGCTTATGGGAGCACTCCCTAACCCAGCTCTGTCAGGAAAGCCCACATATGATGTACACCGCCAGCAAAGGAGGTAACCTACTGCATGGTAATGAAAACAGTTCTGAGCAATAACCTACTCCATTGGCATACCTGGATTCAGAGAAGAATGTCTGTCCCAGACCTCACAGAGCTCAGAATCTGAGCTTGGTTAAATACAAGAAGCATGATTTTTTTTTCCATAGGTACTGTCTTCAAACACACATAAACCACAAAACCTAACAACTGCCCTAATCTTCCTTTGTACCATGACAGCCATTCCAAG